AGAGTCACACAGACCAAAAATACTCGAGGAACAAGAAAAGATCCAAGAAGTAGCTGAAGAGAAGACCAAATTTTCAAGAAAAGGCGAGGTGGAAGAAGAAATTGCAGAGAAGAAAGCAGAAGTTTCAAGAAAAGTTGGGGATATTAAGCAAGGAGACTCAGATGCAATGAAGGGACGAGAAGAAAAAGACAAGATTCAAGAATTAGTAATGGAAGATCAAGTAAGTGATGGCGGAAAAGGAATGATTGCAGCTGCAGAGACAATAACTGAGAATGATAAGTCAAGAAAAGTTCAAGAGATTGACGAACAACAAGTAGATAAACGTGGAAAACAATTCAAGAAACTTGTAGGAGGGGAAATAAGTGATCGTAGAGAAAATAAAAATGTGGAGAGCGAGAAGAAAACAACAGAGGCTGAAAAAAGAAGCATGGGTAGCGCAAGAGAAGTTCAAGAGATTGAGAACAAAGATTCAGATGTTACTGAAGAAAATGGTAAAGAAGACAGAGGACGTTATCGAGATGAGCAAGACGAAGAGAACAAGGACAAAGCGGATAGACCAGAAACGATAAGAGGTACGATAGAACAAGAACTGGTGGAAGAGGAAACAAAGGACAGTGATGAATCAAAGACCAAAACCGAGGATGATGTTGTAAGAAAGGTTCAAGGTATTAAAGAACAGGAGTTGTATGAACCAAAAAGGGACCATGTAAGCAAGACTAAAGAATTGGTAGAAGAGAAAATTGCAGAGTCAGAGATAGAAGCTGAATGTGGTGGCTTAAGTAAAGTACATGGTAGTAACGAACAGGAGTTTCATGAGCCGAAGAAGATACATAAGGAACGCGATAAGACCCGGATAACTGGGACAGAGGAACTAAGTGGTCAAGAGAAAGAGGAAGAAGAGAAGGAGAAAATTGTAGAGTCTGAGACATTAACAGAAAATGACAACAACTCCATAGATGTTGAAGAGATTGAAAAAAAAGATTCAGATGTATCTGGAAAATATGGTAAAGAAGACACGGTCCAAGAACTCCAGGAAAATAGAGCAACTTATCGAAAT